TGAGGTATCTAATACTGTAGTAATATTTCAGATCATGTGTTTGTTTAATTTTTTAAGAAACTGCCAAACTTTGTTCCAAAGTGTCAAAAATCAATTGACTATAAATATAAGGATTCATTTCTGGACTCAATACTATTTCACCAACCCATATGACTACCCTATGTCAGTACCACAATTTCTTGATGACAGTAGGTATAGTAAGTTTCAAAAGAAAAAAAACAAGTCCTCTAAATTTGTTTTTTTTTTCAAAACTTTTTTCGGTCTTCTGGGCCCTCTACATTTACATATGTAAATTTTAGATTCAACTTGTCAATTTCTGCAATAACAACAAAAAGAAAATCCAAAAACAAGCAAACAAAAAACTTGCTGGTATTTTAATATAAATTATAATGTCTATATATCAGTTTGGGGAAAAAATGGCTATCTTAATAATATCAAGTCTTCCAATCCATGAACATGGTATGTCACTTTATTAGATTTTCAATTTCTCTCAATTACTTTTTTTTAGTTTCAAATGTATAAATCTTCCACTTATTTTGATAATTTTATTCCTAAATACTTTTTTGATGCTATTATAAATAAAATATTTTCTTAATTTTTTTTTTTCAGAGTATTCAGTACTAATACATAGAAATACAGTTGATTTTTTTTTGGTACATTTATCTTGTAACATGACATCTTGATGAACTTGTTAATTAATTCTAGTAGCTTTTGGGTGAATTCCCTAGAGTTTTCAAATATAGAATCATGTCATTTACAAATAAAGACAGTTTTATTTTTTCCATTCTGGAGACATTTATTTATTTATTTATGCCTGATAATACTGGCTAGAACCTCAAATACAATGTTGAATAGAAGTGGTGAGAGTGCCTTACTTTGTTTCTGATCTTAAGGGTAAGTCATCTAGTTTTTCTAAACTGGGTATCATGTTTACTGTAGGCTTTTCATAGATGTCTTTCCTCAAATTGAGAATGTTTTCTTCTGTTCCTGGTTTGTTGAGTTTTTATCATAAAAGGGTGTTGGATTTTGTCAAATACTCTTTCTCCATGCATTGAAACAACCATGTGGTTTTATCCTTTATCCTATTAACATGGTATATTACATTAATTGTTATCTTTTGTTCTATTAATATGAGTGTTAAACCAGTGTTGCATTCCTGGGACAAATCCAACTTGGCCGTGGAGTATAATCCTTCTTATATGTTATTGGATTTATTTGCTATATTTTCTTATGGATTTTGCATCTACATTCATGGGGAATATAGGTCTGTGGTGTCCTTTTCTTGTGATATATTTGTCTGGTTTGGTGTTGGGTTTTCTATATCAAAGATCTTTCCAGTCCTTTCTACTTCCCTATGGCTTCTCTTTTCAGTTCTCCAACCAGAAATCTGGGATTATTAATGTATACCCAGCTCAGTGTTTTCTATTTATTGTGTCTGCATCCGAAGCCAGAGGGTGGAGAGTGAAAGGGAGAGAGAGAGAGAGAGAACAATGGGATTGCACTCCACCTTCTCGAAATCACCATGCTGCTAATCAGACAGGAAGATTATCCTCCTTCAGAGTTTTGGACTCCCAACATTGCTGCACTGCCACACAATTGCTTGGGGACTGAGGCGTGAGAATGGAGAATAAAAAGAGAGGACAATTTTTCTTTCTGAGTGTTAGAATTTCCTTTTCCCATTTATTAATCTAGAACTCTAGGATTCTTCTAGCGCTCTCTCTATCTGGACCCTTGTACCTACTTCTGGCTTTTGAACCAGGCCAGGAGACACTAGAGGGAATAAATGGTAGATCTACCACTAGCTTGGTGGTACTTTGAATTCTTGTCTTCTTTCCCAAACTTTTTACCACTACATGTTTGCTTTTCAGAATTCTTAAATAGATTTTACTTAGAACTCAAGCTCTTTCTCTGCTATTTCATTTTTCTAGTAATTTAAATATATTTTACAAGAACATTTGTCCTCAAATTGATTGGGAATTAAAAATGATGACTATTTTGGATGATGGAATGAAGGCTATGGGGGATTTTGGAGAGATTAATAGGGATTGGATATTTCTGTTAATGGTCAGTCATCAAGCATAAAGAAATGGAACTTTAGAGTTGGACTTGACAAGTCAAAATGATGCTACTGGTTTCTGCATGTAGTAGACATAGCCATTGACATTCACTCCACCTTTGATTCATGTAGTGCCATTTGGAAATAACAAAGCAATATGTTCCTTCTTTTTCTGAAATTTCCTAAGGGTGACATCTTTCCAGAAAAATTATAACTGAGCTGGTTTTTGAAGAAATTATCTGTAACAGGAAAAGAAGCTTGTTCGTTGTTAAAGATCCCTTTTCTCTGTATTCTTCAAATTGGATACATTCTACTGTTTTATGTTAGAGTACACTGTCTCTTTTCTCTGTTGTATCAATTCTGTCATTTCTACTACTGAGTCCTTCCAGATACTATATGTTTTGCTTCTAAAATTTCCATTTGTATTTAATAGTTCCTATTTCTCTGCTGAAACAAAAAACTACCTTGCCATTTGTTTCAAGGGTATTTACCCTTTACCTCACAGACTATGGTTATAATTGCTAGTTTAAGGTCTTTATGTGACCATTCCAATATCAAATGTTCTCAATTTGGGAAGCTATTAATTGCCTTTTACTTTGAGAATTGGTCATATTTGCTTGTTTTTTTGTCCGTTGCATTTTTTATTATATAATGGACATTTTGAATATTATGTTTTAATATTCTGGATCCTGTTTAAATTCTCTGAAGGAGATTTAAATTTTTTTTTATCAGATTTGGTTAGGTTTGGACTGCAAGCTCTGCCTTACCATCTATGGGCAGTGATTTCCATGTCAGTTCAGTTTTAGAAGGCTGTGCTACTCACAGCTTAAGTCTGCGTGCATTGTTCAAGGTTCGTACTGGTAATCTGGGACTTGGACAACAGTTTACATTGTAGTTCAGCTCTCAAAGCCTTTGCTGTGCTGCTTTGAATGTTTTCTGTACATATGTATCTTAGGAGTAGTCCAGGACTTTGATTCATTCATACAGAAAATAAAGGTATTCTCTGCTCCCTCTCTTTCCTCTGTGAGATTTCCAGATTAATTATTAATTTTTATTGTAGTACATGTTTCACATATTTCCCTATTTTATTATTTATTATATTTAAATTTTTTATTCCACTGTATAAAAAAATGGTAATTTTACTCTCATCCTTCCCCTCTTTGTCTCCTGCTCCTAATATTGGATATTTACATTATCTTTTATTCTATTGGCTGCATTTGTAACATTTTATTTAATATACATAAGCCTCTACTTCTTGATCTGTCAGGATTTATAACTTCTTCAATTCCTGAGTTCATGTAGTAAAAGCTCTGGGTTTTCTTTCCCCTTTCATTCCAATATTCCAAGAGCTGCACTTAAACCTTTGTGTTGTCAATGTTGTACTCTTTCCAAAGGTTCATAGTACATGTTTAAAATTTTTCATTTAAAAGAACACAAAAAAGTATTTGTATTATTCTGATTGGATAAATATTGTTAAATACTGGGACAAGTCACAGTTCAGGACTTCCTTAAGGTCCTATGTGATATGCTGGCCAATTGAAGAATGTTAATAGCATTAAGCAAAAGGATTTCTTTACCTTTTCTCTCTCTGTATTTAAAATTATGTTACTTGTTTGAATAATTACTTTTGCATATGATATATATATATATATATATGCATTCTTGTACATATGTATGCATATATTTCTAAGATTTCTAAATCCTCTTTTTTCCTGGGAGACTTCCTGCTGTCTATGACCTATGCAGACGTGTCATTCTTACCGGAAAAGTACATTTTCAAGTAACTTCCTAAGGTAGGATGAATGGGAAGGGAAAGTTTCTACTTAGGGATATGACCAGAAATGTCTGTTTTTCCGTTTGATTGACAGTTTGCCTGGGTTTAGAATTCTGGATTGAAAGTTATTTTCTCTCAGACTTGGAAAGCTCTGCCCCACTGACTTCTAGCATTCACTGTTGCATCAACCAAAAGATATAAGGAATGAAGATAATTCATTTATTAGCCAATCTCAGCTCATGGACTTCTTTCCTCTTTGTGTGACAGTGATCATAAAGGTTTTCCTTTGTCCTGAAGAGGTGGGCTAGGATATTGGATTTCTGTAAACCACTATGTTTCAGTGCCTTGCTCTCTCTCTCAAAGTTGCTAGTGGACTTTCCTGTTGAAGGGTCCCTTTACTTCTCACTATTCCAGGAGGTCAGCAGTGCTGGTCATGGTGCTGGTGTAGTCTTTGCTCTCCAGCTTTGAGACTGTCAAAGAATTCTAGTTGTATATATAATTTTTCTTTATTTCCCTTTTCTTTACTTACTCATTCAGTTCTCCTTGTACCTTGAACTAAAGTATAAAAATTGTGGAGGGCAGAAATTGCCCTTGCCAAAATAGTAATGTTTAATTAACATAAAATAGAAAGCACTCCAAAGTATGTGTACAGTACAGGGATATTCTATAGTTCTTCTATAACGTGTTTCTCAGTAGAAAATTTCAGGTATATTAGTCTGCTTTCACATTGCCATAAAGAACTACCTGAGACTGGGTTAATTTATGAAGAAAAGAGGTTTAATTGACTCACAGTTCACAGGATGTACAGGTGGCATAACTGGGGAAGCCCCAGGAAACATATTCATGGAAGAAGGTAAAGGGGAAGCAAGCGCATCTTCACACGGCCAGAAAGAGAGAGAGTGAAAGGGGAGGTCACACACTTTCAAACAACCAGATCTTTTGGGAACTTTATCACGAGAACAGCACTAGGAGAATGGTGCTAAACCACCCCCATGATCCAACCACCTCTTACCAGGCCCCACCTCCAACATTGGAACTTACAAGTCAACATGAGATTTGGGTGGGGACACAGAGCCAAATCAATCATATCACTAGGCTACCCAGTGTTTATCATTTACACTATCTGCATTCACTTTTTGTCATCAATTATTACTGTTTTGTCTTTGTCAGCAACAGAAATTGCAAGGAAATCCAACAAAGAAAACCAAATCAAAAAGACCAGATCCCCTCAAAGGACAGAGGGTTATTGCAAGATGTGATGAAAATGGCTTTTATTTTCCAGGTAGTTTTCAAATTTCTTTTGTGAGACTTTTGTTAAATAATTTGATATTGGGGACAAGAAGTTTCAACCTGTGCTTTTGCTAGAACACTGACATGTCGTGAGCTGGCCTGAGCTATCCCACTTTTCACAGAGAAAAGAAGTGGAATATCTCAGGCCAGCTCATGAAATGAGCATATATATTTACGGCAAAAAAAGGTAGCCAGAAAAATGCATTTATTTTAATATCTCATTTTTTAGTAAACAAATTTTTATTGCCTATCTGCTGCATTGCATGTATGTAATATTTTGAAAGTATTGGTCTAATGTTATGAGCAAGCAGATGAACATTCTTGCTTTGTGGAGGTTACATCTTAAAGGAGACAGTCAAGCAATGAAATAAACAGGTAAAATATGCAGTATGTCAGATACAGTGCCGTCAAGAAAAATCAAGCCACAAATGGGGCTGAGAATGTCAGGGTGAGGGTTGTAATTCTATATTTGGTGGTTAATGAAGAGCTCCTGGGGAAGGTGACATACGAATAAGGACTTAAAGGAGGTGGGGCAAGCCATGAGACTATCTGGGAAAGAGAGTTCCATCAGAGACAACAGTAGTGCCCAGGCCTCAGACTGGAGTGCACATGCCCAGGGTAGCTGGGCCTCAGAGGTTTGCCCCAGACTCCCTGAGGGGATGTGATTCCTGAAGGAATCAGCCAGATGCAGTTCACCAGGGGGTGGAGGTATGAAGGGAGTTTCATGGATGGTGACAGTATGTGTGAAGACTTAGCAATGAAGACTATGTCTGGAGAAATAAAATAGATTCCAGCTGGATCTTAGACTGAGAAGGAAGGGTGGAAATAATAAAGCTCTTCAGAGGTAAGCATGGGGCCATGCATAAAGGGTCATGTTTAGGATTTGCACATTACGCTGAGGGCAATGAGAGCCACATTTAAAGCAGCGAGAAACACAATCACATTTGAAGTTTTATAAAGCTCTCTCCTGCTGCTGTGTGAAGAGTGGATAACATAGGGTTAGGGTGTCTCTCTGGTCCCTGGCTTAGGGCAGTGGATAGATAGTGGTACCTACAGGAGATGGTGGTACCTATAGGAGATGGTGGTGTGGACGGAAAGACAATGAGATGTATCTGGGACATGATGAATTGCAGGTGCCTAGGAGATACCCAGCTGAAGGTGTCAGAGAAGCAGTTGGAGATTTGGGTCTAGAGTCTGGAAATGGAGATTTGGGAGACATAACAACAAAGGTCACCCTCGAAAGTATGGGAAGGGTTTGTAGGGCAAAGGGAACTGGAAGAAAACCTTGAGGAAGCTCTGTTGGGCAAAAATTACATTGCAGGCCTGGCATAGTGGCTCACACTTGTAATCCCAGCACTTTGGGAGACCAAGGCTGGAAGGTCACTTGAGGCCAGGAGTTCAAGACCACCCTGGCCAACATGGTGAAACTTCATCTCTACTAAAAAAAAAAAAAAAAAAAAAAAAAACCAGCCAGGCATGATGGCATGTACCTGTGGTCCCAGCTACTCAGGAGACTGAGCCAGGAGAATCACTTGAACCTGGAAGGCAGAGGCTGCAGTGAGCTGAAACTGTGCCACTATACACCAGCCTGGGTGACAAAGTGAGACTCTTTCTAAAAAAAAAAAAATTACACTGCAGATACATAGCTGGCCTTTCATAGGCATGATCTATCTATCAACAGTTAAAAGAATAATTATTATTTAAATTTAAATGAATAATCTTTTAAGTGGGAAAAAATACTTCAGCACGATTTTTGATTTCTAGCAGGCACATATGTACAACTGACAACGAGGACAAGTTATGTGAAATGTGATAAATGTGCTTGAGAGTTGCCTGGATGAGAGTAAATATGGATCCCAGCACTTGAGATGAGAGTGTAGGCTCAGGCATGACACCTTTCTTTACAAGAAGTACTGAAAATCTTTCATTTCTCTGGGGCACAGATTTTCTAAGCGGTGATTGTAGGAGGCCACCCCTGCTTGTGAAATTTTGATTTTCTGAATTTGAGCCTTGGAGAGGGTTTTCTTGCTAAACTGACAGTCGAACGATAATGCTAAGAGCGGGGCTCGGCGCAATGGCTCACGCCTGTAATCCCAGCACTTTGGGAGGTTGAGAAGGGCAGATCACCTGAGGCCGAGAGTTCAAGACCAGCCTGACCAACATGGTGAAATCCCATCTCTACTAAAAATACAAATTAGCCGAGCGTGGTGGTGCGTGCCTGTAATCCCAGCTCCTCGGGAGGCTGAGGCAGGAGAATTGCTTGAACCCAGGAAGCAGAGGTCATAGTGAGCTGAGATCACGCCACTGCACTCTAGCCTTGGTGACAGAGTGAGACTCCATCTCCAAAAAAGAAAAAAGAAAATAAAATGAGAAAAGGGACTGGATTCTAAGTGGTTGAGTTAGGGCTTGGGGTCAGTTTGCTGGCCAGGGCCCCAGAGAAATGTGGAATGGCTCAAACTTCCACCCAGCACCATCCTTGTGTGATGAGAAAATTCTAAAGACCTACTGGGGGAGTAGAGGAGACAGGGCTAATACCATGGCTACGTGCAATGCCTGAGGCCACAACGGAAACTTCTTTTCATGTGCAATCAGAAGCAGAAAGCACATACTGTGCTCCCAATAGCCGCATGGGATCTGACCAAGTGGGAGTTTTTAATTTGCAGTGTAATTAAACTACAATAAGTCAGCTTGAAGGAAATATCTGAATTTGGGCATATTATTGGTAATTTTGATTAGCGTCTAAGTAGTGAGCTTTGACTCAGCCAAATTGAGTGACAGTGTGGGTTATCTCCATGAGCTTAGTTTTTGGGCCCTTTCTCCCCAGTCACCTGATCCTTCCTTAACTGGGAATAACTTTACTTTTATAAGGCTTTTTTTATTAAAAATTCAAACATACAGAAAAGTCGCAAGAATAATACAGTGAACCCCTGTATACTCTTTACCCAGATTTGCCAATTTTTAACATTTGGTCACATTTTATCACATATTTTATTTTATTCTCTCTCTGTGTCTCCCTCTCTCTCTGTCTCCCTCTCTCTCTCTCTCTCTCTCTCTCTCTCTCACACACACACACACACACACACACACGCACACACACCCCTTATGTTTTTAGAACTCTTAGAAATTAGGTAACATTTATCATTATTTTATCCCTTAACACATCAGTGTGTATTAAGAGTAAAAATAATCTCTCAACAAAACCACAATAAAGTTAGAAAATTCAAAAAATGTAACATTGTTATATTATATATTTTGATTTCATTAATTGTCGCAATAATGGCCTTTGTCACATTTATTTTCTCCAGTACAGGTCTCAGCCCAGAATCGTGTATTGCATCTAGTGGGCATGTCTCTTTAGTCTTCTTTATCTTTCCTATTATCTTCCATGATAGTGGCATTATTTAAGTGTAAGGCCAGTTATTTTATAGAGTGGTCCTCGATTTGGGTTAGATTAGATTCAGGTTATCATTCCCTGCCAGGATACTGCCTAAGTGATGTTGCGGCCCTCTGGGTCATCCTGTCTAGAGGCGCATGATGCTCACCTGCCCTCACTGGTGATGTTAATTTAGTTAACCTGTTCACTGTGAGTCACTCTTTTCCCTGATGCAAAAAAAAAAAAAAAAAAAAAAAAGGCCAAATAGAATTTTGCAGAACACAGGCATGGCGTTATTGGTGAGTCCTTTTCTGGTAACTGTTGTTCAAAACCTCCTAAACATTTTTAAAGAAAAACAGCTCACTTTAAAATGCACCTCAGCAGAAGGCAGGATTGGAGTCACTGGATTGGGGTGTCCAGTGCATAAGGCCAGGTCCACGCAGCTGAGCTGGCCGGGCTGGCTGTTGCCCCCATCGTTGGGATTGTGGCGGGGATTTCCCTGTGGCTGATGCTATTCCAGGGGTAGGTGTGGGTTATCCAGTTGAGGAAATGACTGTGTTGTACAGAGTGATAGCCTGGCTCATCCGGATGCCGAAAGGCAAGGAGGAAGGTGCATTTTCAACCCTTAATTTAAATCATTATATGTGGAAATTGGGTTATCCTTCCTGTTGTTCAGTGAGAAGCAGCATTTTACTTCAGGAACCCCACAGTGATTTCTGCACTATGCCATAAAAACAAGTTATAATGAAGAAAAATGGGGACAAAATGGAACGCTTTCTCAGGTGTAATGAGTTCGGGTCAGAAAATCCTACGTTTTCATTTATTTCAATTCTGCCTCTTGCCTCTGTTGGCCACACAGCTACAGCCACTTTGTTTCTCTGCACCTCAATGTCCCTGTCTTTTCCAACAGGATTTAAAACAAACCCTTCATAAGCTTGCTGTGTAGATTACATGTGATGATGTACAGCCCTTTGTTAATTCCACAGAAAGAGGTTTTCTGCATCCCATATGAAAGCTCCTCTTAGGAGATAGGGATAAACACCTCACCTCCTCTCCTGGAAAGGAGGGAGCAGTTTTCTGTTTCACAGCAGCTTAGAGCCTATCACAGCAAGTCAAAGCAACAAAAGGCAGCACAGCGCGTAGAAAGGAAACCTCCGAGACTGGAGGAAGAAGCGAACATGAGGACTGTGAAGGATGACACTACCGAGGAGTGGGCAGCTGGAGGGATGCGCTGGCTGGAGCAGAGCGAAAGCCTTTCTGAAGAGGTGGAATTTCAGCTGGGCTTGGTATATCGAAAGGTTCTTAGAGCCAAAGGTTTAAAAAAATAAACTCCAGCCTCCAGCCTGAGAAAACCTGTTTGGAACAAAGGTTCAGAACTATTCGTGCCTTTTTCACCAAACAGACTGACGTCCACTGTTTACTCAGATTGTGACACCAACTCTCTGACCCTGAGCACCCGCAGCATTTCTGCTGAGGGCCTCCGCAGGAGTGCAGGCCCTTTCCCCAGCTGCGTACGGGACAGCCTCTGACTGAGGCAGGGAGCCGACTAGTTCCCAGGGAGGCACTGGGCTTACCAGCCTCCGCCCAGAGAAAGAGGGGAGGCAGTGGAGGCTCTGGGCCCACCAGCCTCCACCCAGAGAAGGAGGGGAGGCAGTGGAGGTTCGTCAGCTTGGCCACCCTCCAGAGCTCAGGTCTTCCAACAGGTCTCAGAGATTTTAGAGCTGGGAGATGCGACCTCACCTCTCAAGGCTGAGGACAGAGAGAAACTACAGGGTAAGGGAAGCCAAAAATTGGAGCTGATCTTGAATCAGGACACAAGAAATGGTAGCAATTCCTTAATGAGGTGGAGGAGCAGGTACAGAGGCTTAGCAGTGGTGGACAGGCCAGTCCTGGGCCCTCCAGCCGCCCAGAGTGCGGCCACAGCGGGGCCCACGAGGCCAAGTTGAAGGCGGACAGCGAGAAACTGTGCTTATATCTGTAGATGAACAAAGACCCACATCTACAAAGAAGGAAACTGAATTGAAGGAACTAAAAGGAAGTCATCATAACATTCCAAAAAGTTTAGGTTCAAAGAAGAAAGTCAGTGGTAAATGGTTTAGGCTTTGTCGGCTACGCAGTCTCTGTCGCAACTTCTCAATTTAGGCAAACAACCGAAAAATTGCCTAGCAGGTTTGATACTAGATACTGCTAAGTCCCAGAGGCTAAGAATTTGGAGAGAGTCACATGGGCCAATGTGGCTGTGGTGGCAGCCCAGACCCTTACCTGGGGCTGTGGGAGGGACGTGGGGCACACAGTGTGTGGCTCTTGTTTCCAGAATAGAAATAATTTCTAAAGGGTAGTACTTGCTTTTCTGATTAAAAGGGTAAAGTCCGTTTATGATAGAAAATGTGTGAGTAATGTGTAAATATTTCAAAACCCAAATTAAACATTTTAGTCCAATAAGAAAACACATAATGACAAGCTGGCTTGTGTGTATTAAAAAAAAAAATTCATCCCTTTGGCCATTTAAAACAAGACATGTGGATCGAGATGAAAATCAGCAGCTGTCTCTTTGCCCCATGAGAGGACGTGGGGCTTTGCTTAGCAGGCACATGAGCCAGGACCGGGGAGCCACTGCCCCACGTGCTGTGGAGCCCGGCGGGACGCACATGCACACTTCCATCTCCGTGAAGGTCTGTGAGCAGCTGATACTGCCAGGGAGGTGGCCAATGTCATCATCTCCCTGATCACGTCTAGAACCCCTTTCTAATGAGAAGATAAATCTTAAGTCATATAAATATTTTAAAATGTGCATTTTAACACAGGTATTTTCTTTTCCTATAGTGATAATTTATTCTAATAATTATATTAATTAAAATGTATAACAAAATTATTATATAATTAAATAATATATATGTGTGTACATATACTAGACTGGTGCAAAAGTCATTGTGGTTTTGGTCGCTTTTTTAATGGCAAAAACCACAATTACTTTTACACTAACCTTTTATATCTATCATGCACTCCTTTAGTATAACTAAAAATGAAACTTCTTACCTCTTTCTTCTTTCTTTCTTTCTTTTTTTTTGAAATGGAATTTTGCTCTTGTCATCGGGAGTACAATGGCGCAATCTCAGCTCACTGCAACCTCCACCTCCCAGGGTCAGGCAATTCTCCTGCCTCAGCCTCCCAAGTAGCTGGGATTACAGGTGCCCACCATGCCTGGCTAATTTTTGTATTTTTAGTAGGGACAGGGTTTCACCATGCTGGCCAGGCTGATCTCGAATTCCTGACCTCAGGTGATCCACCTGCCTCAGCCTCTCAAAGTGTGGGGATGACAGGCATGAGCCACCACGCCCAGCCTTACCTCTTTTTTCTTTGTTCCTTTCAGCTGTACATTTTGGGGAAGCTGAGTATGTTCACTCTAGTCAGATGAAAAGCTGATTTGGATGGGAGTTTATATTTCCTTTTTACTTTCACGATTTAATTAGCAACATGTATTTTCTATCTTTAAGTATTATGGAAGAAGACAGAGGCAAAGTAAATGAACAAATCGGGTGGTAGGAGGTGTTTGGAAGGAGGATCTTTATTTCCAGGACCAATGCTCTTGTCAGGACAGAGGCTGATAGTGTCGGATGGACAGGTCTCATGCATTCTCTGAGGTTCTCATCTCAGCAGGTGCCCAGACTAGGCATTGTGTGCATCACCACTTTGAGTTGTTCAACCCAGTAGGCATCCTATGGTACTCAACATTATCTGCTGGAGAAATCAAAGGGGCACGCTGATTTAAACAGGCAATGTGTGCACAAGCCTAACAAAGCGATGCTATTTGTCTTTATGTTTTCTTTGATTCTTTCTAGGGGTTGTGAAGAAGTGTGTGAGCCCCACCCAAGCACTGGTGGGCTTCAGGTACGGAGACACCAAGGTTGTGTCCACCTCCTTCATCATGCCTGTAGGGGGCGCCATGCCCTGCCCGCTGCTCCAGGTACTCATTCCCTGATGTGTTCTGGGGCCATTTTTCACCATCCACAGACTTCTGGTTAACAGAGGACGCCAAGACCGCTGTTTGGCCCTTTGCCAAACCTACGCGGGCTCCTGCAGGGAGGGTGTGTTTGGGCAGGAAGAACAGTGGCCCCTGTTCTGGGACCTGTTGCCTTGCAATTTCTTTGCTCGTGACCCTGACCTGCCGACTCCCTGTCACGTAGCTCAGGGCTGCACAGTCTTGCTCGCATTGCACCTTGAGGTCCTTGTCCCTTTGCAAGACAGTAGATGGTTGGGGGAAAGCCATTGCTGTAGCTGCCAGTACTGTTGACACTTTTTTTTTTTTAATTGGAACTCATTGTAATTATATTTACTAAAATGTTTTATATTTGCATCATTTGTCCCCGAGCTTCAGTGATCAGTAAGGGCCCCGGAGTATGAGGGTTTCCTATTAAATGGTTTTTGAAAAAGCAAATATACATTGATCAGGCTTTCTTTATCTTTAACCATCACTGCTCATTTGCCCATCTTTCCTTCCATTGAACATCTTTTAAATTAATTAATCTATGAATTTTCAAATATTAGATAGCAATCTATATACATTTCTATAGAAAAATTAAAGATGCATTTTAAATGGAAGCCTTTTGTGATCCCAGAATGACACCACAAATGAGATTTCCCCAGGTCCTATGGTTAAGGCAGGTGTCTTTGAAAGTGGCAAGAATTCTTCCAGCTCACTAGGGGATTGCTGATTAAATCTTACCAACACAAACACGGCTTTCTTATATATCTCTTCTGCAAAAGATTATATTCTATTCCATAATATTATATTATAATATAATATATAATAACAAGGGCAGAGGTAGCACTTTCCTTGGCACTGTGGTCAGCTGGTGTCAGATGGTGAATCATAATGCACAGCTACCACAAATGTGCATTCCACACGTGTTACCGGAAGAAAGGCCGTGAGTGTGAGTTGTTCAGGTCCTTGCTGTTTTGAACAAAGAATTGAACAATATGCACAAATAAAGTAACAAAGGAATGGAACACAGGAACAAAGCATGGAAAGCAGGGATTTATTAAAGTGGGAAAGCACTCCACACGGTGGGAATGGGCCCGAGCAAGCGGCTCAGGGGCGCTGTTGCAAAAATTTCTGGGTTTTAAGTACTACTTCTGAGATTCTTATGGACTACCCCTTATCTGGATGAAGGATTTGGTCTGTGGCTAATTAAAGGCTGAGGTGAATTGCTGCCCGCAGCCAATCCAAGATACACTCCCTTTCCCTCTGAGCCCGGGTGGAAGGGGAGGGTTGCAGGCAAAGTGGCCTTTGATCCTTTGCTACTGGGTGTGAGCGATGGGGTTTTTCCTTTTGGTTTATCTTTAGAAGTTTGTGGTGATTGGCCTTAGGTTCTCTGCCCCCAGACCCAGATGTTTTCCCTTTGATTTAACTTTAGGAAATTATCACGAATTGGCCCCAGATTCCCTGCCCCCGGACGTTGGTACTTTCCCTTGATTCAGCTTTAGAAAGTCAGCACGAATTGACCTTAAGCTTCCTGATGCCGTACCCTGTTCTCCTGCCTCAGATGAGCCAGATTAATGTGTTCTCATCTGCTCACAGATGCATCAAAAGCTGTGCCATGTCTGTTTCATTCTCTGGCCACTATCCTAATTCCAGCTCCAAGGCCCAGGAGTAGAGGGCAATCTTGCAGAGCACCCCACTGCTGTGTTTCGCCCAATGTTAGCCCAGTGGAGAAGCGCTGGAGGAGGAATCCGAGAATTCATCCTTGGGCCTCTGTTTCTGCTTCCTAGTCAGAGCCCTGGCCCACAACAGTGCTCTTGTGCCCTGACGATGCACAAGGGCCCACAGCCTCTGCGAGTCTCTCCACAGCATACTCTTTCTGCTGCAAGTTCTCTGTTTGCGACTTTTACCCATGGATTCTGGGTGTATGCTTTGGAGCGACATTAAACAGACCTCTACCTTCCTAGTCTTGGTGACAGCCCTTCTGGCAGATGAAGACACTGTTTATGTTTGCATGACAAACACCCCAGGTTCTTTCAACTACTACTCTCTTTGGGATGCGGTTTCCAGGACCCTCCCCATCTTGCTGGCTGTTCCCTGGACCCTAGTCAGTTGTCGAAGTCCTACTAAAATGGGGTTTCCCAAACTGATCACAACATTTCAGATGTGGCCCAATGTTGGAATTCTTTCTTAACTGAGAAAAAAAATACGTATTTGAATTTTAGCATCAGTAATTGCCAATTGCCTTGGAGTGTTTTAAAATGAGCTTATATTAACATTGTCTGTACAATCCATAAGCAAAACATTTGCTATATGTTCTCCTCTGCAGGTTGGAGATTATGTGTTTGCCAAAATCGTGATACCCAAAGGATTTGACTTCTACGTCCCTGCCATTGTCATAGCACTTCCCAATAAGCATGTGGATGCAGAAAAATTCTACACGGTTTTGAAGTGTAACAACCGGAGAGTAAGTAGATTCTCACTTAGCAAAGGACTTTCTCCTGGGCAGTGCCAACCTGTTTCCTGGCACTTCCAGGCGTCTTGATGAATGGTTTCCTCGGCTGCGTCTGCTGCCCTACTCTATACTCCCTGTGTTTTGGCTTTTGCCCACTGTGCCACACACCCTGCCTTCACTGAGGCGACCACGGCCTCTGACGCCCTCTGTGTGGTCCTTTGGCTCTCATTGCTGAACCGTGCTTTGCATTTGATGGAGGGGCAGGCTCACTCTAGGCTCTCTCTCTCGATTTCCGTCCTCCTCATCCTCCTTGTCCTCCTGCTTAGACTGCCCCTTCCTTGTGCTCCTCTGCTGACCCTGCAGACTTGGGTACCTTCTGGGCCCTTCCCAGTGCTGTCCTCCTCTGCCTCCTCCCAGTATCTCTCGAAGTCACCTTCCATCTCTGGACATCTCCTCTGTGCCAGAAGTGCCAGCCCTGTGCTCCTGCCTTGAGCTCCAACCCTGTGCTTCTAGCTGGGTCCTCCTGGAACACTTCCTCAGGGTGAGCACCGGCAATTCAGACTCCGCAAGCCAATGCACCCCCTTTCCCCAAGCACCTTCTTCTCTTCTGTGTCCCCTGTATTGGGGTGCCACTACCTGGTTTCCCATCTCCTACTTGCTTAGAAACCACCTCCAGAGTTGGTAGAAGTTGGGAGACATAAGGGCGGACAGGGACAAAATGGAGTCGAGTGGAAAGAACACAGGCTTTCCAATCAAAAGATCTGTGTCAGGATTATTTGAACATTCACTCTGCTCTTTACTGGTTGTCTGACCTGGGCAGGTTGCTTCACCCCCTGAGACTCGGTTTGATCACATATAAAATGATTATTTTACATATCTATATTTGTCTATGTATACCCTACAGGGTGAGTGTGAGGCTTGAAGAAAAGACACGTAAGCGTAAGCGATCTGTGTGTCTGACAGGAGGTGTTGGGTAACAGAGTGGTGAAGTGGCTGCAGAGGTTAGCACATCACTCAGCTCCCTTCCTTCTGCACCCCCCAGGGCCAGTGAGTGGGAATGACTGTGATAACTGCATCATCTCTAGAATGATTTGCTCATTGGACAGGTGTTCGTTAAGGGTCTATGTTGTCTATTGGATCATTTGACTTTTTTATTGACTGGGGAGGTCTTCTGTGTCTTCTGAGTAGTAATTCTTGGTAATATATGCAGCCAGTATTTTTCCCCGTCTGCTACTTGTCTTTTAACTTTGGAATCTTTGTTGACAGAGAAGCGTTAAATTTTAATATGGTCAAATTTATCCCTTTTCTCATTTATGAACTGCCCTTTCTGTATTTGTTTAAGAAATCCTTCCTTAATTATGTATTTCTCTATGTCGTTTTTCTAAAAGTTTTAGAAGAATTCTTTATCAGTTTACAAAACTGATGATGATATTTGCCTGATTGACGTCCCCTGCCTCCTCCCAACCCACACACATGCTTCGAGCCACCCTTAGAGAAAATCCCCCCAGGACCCCAGTGTGGCCCCAGCCTGCTCCATAAGCTTGACCTCCAGCCAGGTGGAAGGCTCACAGCTTCCTGAATGCAGTGGGCTTTTCCAAGCCCTAGGCTTTTGCCTTTTCCTGGACTGCCCTTCCCATCTCCTTTCCCCTAAACTCCTGTCATCCTAAAGACTCCACCTGATCGTGACTTCCCGCAGGGCCATCGGGTTCCTCCTGTCCACCACACTGCCCTTGCCAAACTGGCTTCGTCACCAACCTCTCAACCCTTAAAGGCAGTGACCGCGTCTATTCACCTTTGTTCCTCCCAGCACAGCCCCTGATGAAGAGAAGGGTCTTACAATTTTTTTTAATTACTTGAATGAATGACATTCTTAATAGAAAATGAAATTGTCTTGATGGAAGACTTAATATGCCTGGAAAACAGACCAACAAGTGAACTTTATTGGTTAGCAAAAAGCCAGATAACAGTGGCTGACTCTCTTAGGCCCTTACTATGTGCCATGGATTTACTGTGTAAATCCAAGCACTTTACACAGAGTGGACACTTGGATCCTCAGAACACCATTAGGTAGGGACTATTATTATCTTGATTTCCAGAAAAAGAATTGAATCAAGCGGTTAAAGCACACACCTGGTGTGTAGAGCAGGCATTTGGATGCAGACAATCTGGCTCCATGGCCTGCCCTCTAAACTACCGTGCCCAGCTGCCTAGAATACAGAATAAAAATATCCAGGGGGGCAGTTACATCAGGGAGAGGGGCATGGGAAATGAATTTTAAGGTTAAGGGCAAAGGAGAAAGCTCATCAGAGCCAGCAGCCACAAGAGCACTGTATCCAACCCAATAGAACAAGCAGAAAAGGAGATGTCTTCTCATCAACCCAGAAGAAAAACCCTTGGAGATCAATGGAGTTTCCTGAAGCTGTCTGGATAGCAGTAGAGAAGCAGTCTGGAACGGCAGAGCATGGGGAAGCCTTCCTCTTCCTGATATGTGGCACCACTCTGGGGGTATCAACTGTGAAAGGGAGGGAGAGATGTTTTAAGAGATGTCCCCAGGTATGCCCCAGGGTGCGGGGAGAGATGAGGCAGTTGGCCCAGGATCTCTAAGGGGAAGCCACAGAGCCCAGGAAAAGACCTTGGAATTTACCTACAGGTCATGGGGGACATGGGACCCTGGAGACTACAGGGGCGCGGCCAGGGGGAAGGATACTGGAGATAGTTCTGATAGGAACTTGGGGAGACCCAAAGAGGCTGAAGGTAGGGCTTTCAGCAAAAGTGGTGGCCAAAAGCTGAAATAAAGATAGAAAGCAAGGTGGTTATATGAAGCTCTGTGTGTGTGTGTGTGTGTGTGTGTGTGTGTGTGTGTGTGTGTCTTCCGTGGTAGACTTGGAAATTGATCCAGAATATGGAGAAATGACAGAGAGGACTCAATGATGACTTATTCAGCAAATAATTATCAAGTGAGGTTCTGAATTTAAACTACTCTTTTAAGTGTCACCCTGAATAGGATAATGAATAGAAGCTATTATAATGGGTTGAGCTAGAATAAAATTATATCTGAATTTTGGACATTTCTGATTTAAATTGAGTGAATTCTGTTGGTATTATTACAGGAATTTTGCCCTCGGAGTGCACTTATTAAGATCAGCCAAAACAAGTATGCGCTCTCCTGCTCTCATATAAAGTCACCCCCAATTCCTGAGGATCCAAAAGTGTAAGTGCACTCAATTTTTATCTCTTGAATATTAATTTATATCCTTGCACTTTTAATCTGTTTTCGAGATGAGATCCATGACCTCTTAATACTAGGGAAGAAAAGCAGAGATGGAGAATGTCCTACTTAAAATGTAGCTCTCTGATATTATCCCTTCAACATCACACCTTTCACCTGCTATTTATGCATCTGGTTCTAATCTCAAATTCAACATTATTTGACCCTTCAGAAAAGTATTCATGAATATGTGATGAATATGAAGGAATTGTTCCCCTTTTATCTGTAAAGATTCAGGGACTTCTAATTAAATTGCATTTGGGTCCAGTCACCTACCCACCTCTCCCCTTGCTGGGAGGTGGGAGCGAGGGGCTGGTCCTGCTTGCCTGTAGCCAGGTCAGCATATAGGTGGGCGGTGGCTTCCCAGGGCTGCAGTGGGGTGAACACATTTTCAGCTGAGGCAGTAGGATTGCCAAGAGCTGTAACGGTGGACTAAAGGCAAGGCAGAAGTTAAGGGGGAGGCCTGCAGGGCAAACAAAAACCCAAGTCCATGGGTCCAATGAGGGGCATCAAAATTGGGGTCATGGAGCCATGACCTTGGAGTCAAGGGCATACAAAAAGAGGTAAAGGCGGATGTTGAGCACGTGTTGGGGAAAAGGACCCAGGAAACATCTTCCAGTTTCTCTTAGAGTCTGCAGGCTGTCTTTGAGTGCTAACCTTCATTCTTCCTGATGGCCTTGCCTTCGGCTTCATCACAGAATCATTAGACAGTCTCTCCCTCCACTTCTGATCTCCCAGCTCTGGGCTTATGGAAGTCTCTGCCTTCGCCCTGATGTCAAAGAATCAGTGTCCTTCTTTTCGCCCCAGGCCAGTCTGTCCACTGGGCTCCAGAGGCCCCTCTTCCACTGCCTCAAGTCCCGGATTCATCAGTGATCTCTGGATTCTTCTTACCTCCCTCCTTAGCTCCTTTTCACTGAGTCCTTCACCTCAGCAAGTACACAGGTTTGCCTCCTGTTCACACACATGCAGCACCCACAAACTCCTAAATAAATCCCACTCCCTCAGTTCTGCAGTATGACCCAGCATGCTCCCTGCCCTTCACTGCCAAGCTCCATGCGTCACTGGAGAGACTCCCCTGCCTCCTGTTCACTCCTGAGCCTTGGGTATCAGCGTCTGCCCTCACCCCTCCAATAAACTCCTTCCACAGAGGCCAGAGGGGACCTCTTACCGGGCTGCACCGGTGAGCTTCACCCTCACTGACTGAGCCTGCTCCTGCAGTCGCCTTGGACACCACCGGCCACACCCTTCTGCCCTAACCCCTCCTCTTAGGCTTGTTGCGGCTCCACCTCTCTGGGTTTTCTCCTGCCTGACTTCACAGCCACCCACTGCCTCCAAGACTCCCTTCACACTAAGTGTAGTGGGAAGTGAGAGATTTGGAGAGACCAATGGAGTTGCAGGAGGATTTTATTTAACATGATTACAGACTTAGTGGAATGGCTTTTTAATTTTGAGCAAAGGACAAAGAAAATGGGGTGCCTTTTATGTACCTGGGTGGTACAGGATGAAGAAGCAGGAAGCGGGTTTACAGAAGCCAGAACAAAGAGCAATTAATTAACTCGTAACATGTTTTGTGATGTACCTTACATTTGAAAAGTAACATTGTGAGAGACACATTTTGCAGTTTTTATTTGTTAGAAAGAAAAACAGGACTTTTTAGATGCCTGGGAACTTTGCTAAGAATGTGGGGAGGGTAGATCAGGTTCAGCGGTTTGCAGGAAGACAGTTATTCTGCCTGAAACAGAGCTGGGAGGTATCGTATTACACAGCACACAACACAGCAAAATTTACTGTATTATATAGCAACTACACATTAGACAGTTTTGTTTTACTCTTATTGCTATTATTTAATTTCTTTCTTCATAAGGACCTCATGTCTCCTTCTCCAACACAGGCTGCTCTCCTGAGCTTGTGTGTCACAGTCAGAATCCGAGCGTGGGCCCTGAGATGGATTTTTTGAAAGCCCCCCACCCTCAGCTGGTTGCACGGTGCAGCCATGTTGGGTAACTATAGGGGAAGAGCATTGAAACCAAAATTGGATTTATCTCCCAGCCCTGCTGTCAGTTTTGTGGTTTCTCATCGACCCTGAGCTCTTCTGCAAGATGGTGGTGGTGTGAAGATAGGAATGGTCATTGTCTGGCAGGCGTTTGGCACATTGTGGGAATAGCATTATTTCCAGCCACCCACTGGATATTTCTACCTGAGTGTATAGAATCTCAAAAGTTTAGGACATCTAAAACTGAAATAGCAGTTCCCCACAAACCTGCTCCTATCTCAGCCTTCTCCGTCTCCATTCGCCCTTTCACCCACAAGTCACGGCGCTGTACAGCCAGAAAATCAGTCGTCACCTCTGGCTGCTGCTTACTCTTCACCTACCACGCCCCCTTGGTCTCCAGGTTACAGTGATCCTAAACTGGTCAGGAGCTCTCATGTCCCCCAGCCTCCTCCTGCCACAGTCCCAGTCACTCGTCAGAAGGCTCAGCAGAATCAACTTCCTCCCATGCAAATCTGCCTTTGCCTCTTCCCCACTTAAAAAGCCTTCAGAGTCCCGTCCCCATCATCCCTTCTTATCCCAGCTTAGCCTCTTGCTGGTCTGGCCCAGGCCTGACTACCTTACCTCATTTGTCCCTAGCCACCCCCAGCCAACCCGCCAGTGCCTTCTGCATACTAACCACTCTGAGCTATGTGTAGGTTTTGCCCACACCATACTTTCTCAGGTCTCTCTGCCTCCACCAGATTAAGTATTCTCTCTGGAAAACTATTTCTTGCCCTTGGCCACCTGGAGAACTCCAAGACTGAGCTCAAACATCAGCACCACCATGCAATGTCCCAGTACCCCAGGCCACTCCCCCCACCTGCCACCATGTGGTGAGGTGGTCCCACTGCAACCTGTAAAGGTTTCCGTTAAAGAAAATTTCCTTTGCATTGGACTCTGTAGGCACAAGTCCTTGAAAGTAGGGGACAGGTTCTATCTGCCTCTGAATCCCAGTTGCCAGAGTCCAGCTCACAGAATGCCCCCAATGACTATTTGAAGAACAAATCAGTATAGAAACACATGCTAGCAGATGCCCAGTGACACTCCTCTAGAGGTGTGCAGCTCTACAGAGAACCTTTCCTTAGCTATGGTTACCAAAAACATACGCTACAATTGTTCATTCTTGGTCTAGATGGGCATGATACTTCATTGAAAGTAGCAGCGCATTTTCTGTTAATCTCAAACTTCTACTCTGACAACAGTCCTTGCAGGTCTGGCTTCTGGTTCCTATGACGTCCAAATTACAGCTCCTTATAAAGGAACATGAGCAGATGTATCTAGCTATTGCCCATTTTTACCAAACTCAATGTTATCATTATTTTAGAATGAAAATGCAGTTCTTTGTATGTTGAGAAAAGCCTGTGTTTTCCATCTTCCCCAGGCTTTATTTAAAGCTCTGCACTGTGAATTATCTACTCTCTCTTCTGGGCTTCACACAGTGGAAGTGTTCATTGACTCCCTTGTCCCCCATTGTAATTTCCACTCTTTTTTGTTCCGGCTGCCTCTGTGGGAGCAAGAGACTGAGTTTAGTTCTCTTAAGCAGAGGTCACATTCAACCTGTTAAGTTCAGAGCTTAACCTGTCTCTGTTTCTACAATCAGGACTAGCAGAACCGAGTACAAAAATGAAGGTGTAAGTCTGACTTTGTAACAACGCTGGGATTTTCTTCTGGTAGATCCTTTCCTCAGGAGTTCTTTCTCACTTGCTTTACAAATATGTTCCTTAGGGAGCGTTCATGCCACTATTCCAAATGAGGCCATCTAAAGAAACTCCTGATGCTTCCTTTCCAGGCTATTAAAGGCATATACTGTAGGTTACATCTCCAATAGAACATTATTTGACAAAATTTAATTTTCAAATATGGAATTCACTATAAGTATCTGCTTGCAGGGTAAGACAGGGGATACCCGGGCCCAGACAAGCCTCCGTCTTCCCCCACTCCTCCTTTCCTTCTTTCTGGGGGCCTTTCCTGCAGGTCGCTCTTCTGGCTTCTAAGTGAGGACAGGGCAGAGTGAAAGGCAGGAAGAAAGACATTTGAAGGCTGAAGAGCTCAAAACTGATTGAACATGGCAAACGCTGATGCACATTTCCATTTTCAACTTAAAATTTGACACCTAAATGATTCTTAAATACTTTTTTAAAACAAGGTTGTCTTATAAAGTATGTTATCAATATTGCTAAGTTCCACATGGCTCATTCTTTAAGGAAGGATGTGGTGTTGCTGTATTCAACGTGAAACCAGTGATGTGGGTGCAGATTTTCTCTTTCCTTTGTAGCATGACGATGCCAGTCTCTGACACACAACTGAGAGGCATGTCTTCCAAGACTATGTCCGATGGAGGGAAATGACTGCTCTTCCTCTCCCTTAAGGAGCATGCCTGAGCTTTCTGCTACATTCCATGGCATCAGAGATGCCTTTTCTGAGGGAAAATGGTCCTTATCCTGTCTATAACTTCCTCCATTCAGAGAATACATGTGTAGTTTCTCCCATGTGGTACAAGAAGCAGGCAGAACAGGCGGATTTTGCTCCATTTGGCATCCTCTCTCCTTGCCAGGCCAGGGGACTCACAGAACAAGTCCCTCCCTGGCTGCCTCCCCTGGCATCTTTTTCCTAACAGAGGACTGTAGCCTCTGGCAGGGCAGGGGGAAGCACCTGGTGGTCTCAGACCCAGGTGGGTCTGAGCTCCAGCTGTTGGTGTTCTCCATTGGAGAGAAGTGCCTCTAGCAGGTGTTATTCAACCACCCACAGACTGGGGTCTCAGGCCACCTGAACTGAACACACACACCTGGTGCCACTTAACTAGCTAGAAATCTCTCCCGAATGAGCTGGAATCCTTCCTCCCTTCACCCTTAACAGAGCATGACTTGGGCAAATTACCTTCAAGATTCTTCCTTAAGAAGACTCTTGGCCTGGCGTGGCGGCTCACGCCTGTAACCCCAGCATTTTGGGAAGCCGAGATGGACAGATCATTTGAGGTCAGGAGTTCAAGACCAACCTGGCCAACATGATGAAACCCTGCCTCTACTGAAAATACAAAAATTAGCTGCCTGTGATGGCATGTGCCTGTAATCCCAGCTACCCAGAAAGCTGAGGCAGGAAAATCACTTGAACCCGGGAGGTGGAGCATGCAGTGAGCCAAGATTGCGCCACTGCACTCCAGCCTGGGTGACAAAGCGAGACTCCATCTCAAAAAAAAAAGTTTCTTTAGAGGGTGTATGATTTATTTTTAAAAAATTAATAATAGCATTCCAAATGTGATATCAGGAAAGCAAAATAGTGCTCACCATTTCCTCTGTGCCCCAGAGGAACTGTGAGGCATCTGAAGGAAGCTGTTGGGTTCTGGGGCCCTGGAGGCGAGGCATGTTCTTCTCTTGCTGCTTGAGGGTCATTGTGTGGTCTTAGGACGCAGCCGTGTATGAGTCCGCAGGTGGAGAGACCCTCCCAGGGCCAGGTGGGGTTTTTCTGGATCTCTGGTCAACTCCTGCTCCCTCAATTCCTGTTACACAAAATATTAGCCTCTCGTTATCTCTCTTTTGAACAGTTTAGTAACTTTCCATGAAGCCATTGGATTTGGGAGTATGTCCCAGTGGAAATGATCATGTCTGCGGTGTTTAATACTCCTCCCTCGACCCTGTGTAGTGTTGTGGACTCATATTGTCTCCTGACATCAGGGAAATTAAGTCATTGATTGAAGCTTCAAGATTCAGCACTGCCTCTGACATGACATTAGATGAATCACTCCCCTTAATCTTGCCTGGTCACTCCTGACGGTTTTCTCCTAAGAGGGATCTGTGCATTTGAAATCATTAAGCCTCTGAGGTCATTAGCTCCCTTCGTCCCCTCTGGTCAGATTAGGAGCCCATTTCTTATGCTAGAAAAAAGCCCTGAAAAAATTGCAGTTCAGCAACAAACCCTGTCTGTGAGTGTCCTGTGTAATTCAGAAGGACACATGCCATTGCCTACGTTCAGGAAGCACCTAGTGGTGCCCTACGACTTCGGACAAGGGGACACAAGAGTCACAGAAATTCGCCAGCCCTGAGGGCCAGCGGTAGCAATTCAGATAGCAACAGCCTTTGCTTCTCAGTCTCTTCATTCTCCTCCCCTTCAGTTGTTGAAACTCTAAGGCCTCCTGGTGTTTACCAAACATCTGCTGGGTGCCTACTCCATGGGTCCTCTTGTTCTTTATGTTCTAAGACAGACTGACTGAGAGAGACACTTAGGGAAAAATACAAACGAGACCTCAGGGATCCAGCAGGATTACTGACAAGCTGACAATGCTTTATCCAGTGAAGGGGGTGGGTTCTGACCCCAGGAGGGCATGGAGTGGGCACTCAACACTTTCTTCCCAGAAGTGGAACTAGCACAGCGCCTGGCTGCCCTGCTCTGAACACACACCCATATTTATCATAGGTTGATCATGTTATTCAGCCAGATCTGTAGCCTAACATAATTAATAGAGCACCTAATTGAACTCTGTTTGGGCATGAGATTGGGTAAAAGAAAGCCATTCAGTGGGTCTTTTCCAGGAATGCTGATGGAGAACCCCCCCTGGCTGGAGGTTAAGACCCTGGTGGCCCTCCCCCTTCCAATGATGAGCTTGGGTCAGATAGGAGAGGGAGGTGTGTGGCATAGGGGTGGGGTTGAGGCCTTCACATCAGATTCACACCCACCCTGCCTCCCGCTCTCACCCCTCCCTATAAGGAGACATTTCCTTGTGAAAGATCTTGAACTTGGCTGACCTCAGCCATCCTGGAGCATGAAATACAGAAGCCAAGCAGTATCTGCTTGCTTCAAGTAAAGACTTTTCCTTGATCAAAACTCCTACCTGCTTTTCGTACCAATCATGATGACTTGTACTGCTTTATTCTTATGCCAAAAGTAATGCATAGTTAATATAGTTTCTAAATTAAAAATGAGTGGAAATAACACAAAAACCACCCATAGTCCCACTTTTTGAAAGTGATCACCAGTTTTACCTTGGTATAGGTCCTTCTACAGTGTCTTCCCCACTGTGGTGATTCTTATTTCACCATAAGCTTATGCCAGCTTATATCAAAAAGCCATATTTTTTATCTCCTTATCGTGTATGACAATTGCAGCTTTTTGTAATGTCAAGAAAGTGACAGCTCTACTGGAATTCATTTTCCAGGAGTGATTGTGAATAGTTTAATGCAAGGGTTCCAGTCATCCTTATGGATTCACAATTTTCATAACAAAAATGAAGATGTAATATGCATTGTGTTGTGTAATGTTTTTTACACTTATATTTTTTCCAAATAACTTGTCACTTGCACCTTTTCATGACAGTGTCACTTCTTGTTTCATTATTGCCTCACTAGAATTCCATTATTCAGGTGGTCCATGAGTTGAGTGACCGGTCCCCTAGGTGAGGGCTGTCCACACGCTGCTCTTGGGCCTCTCTTGTTCTTCCTCTTCCCAGAGTCCTCTGGGCAGGTGGGTAGGTGTCTCCTCTGCCTTGTTCTTTCTGTGCCTTTAGTGCCTGAAAAAATCTGCTTCTCACACCCCCTTCTTGTCACCCTTCTTCTGAGAGATTATAGCTTAGGGACTGGACTGCAATCATGGATCCTAATTCATGGCAGATAGAGAAAAACCATGAAAAGGAACCAGAATGTGTCAACTTACTCTGCTCTGGAGGAAGGTAGCAATTTGAGGGATAGTTGAGGGTAACGTGATGGATAAGATTTTAGACTTCACAGAACAGGGATGGTAAATACAATGTTGAAGCATGATTCCTAGAAGTCTCTCAGAACCTGCTATCATAGAACTATACATCTACGCAAGCACTGGCCTCAGGTTTAAAGATGATTTTTTTCTGTGGCATCCCAGAAAAGCCTTTCCAATGTCACTGCTATCTCCCAGGCCAATTTTTTAATGTCTTTTTGGAATTGTCTCCTGAGTCTTTGAGCCAATCTTTGAAAATTATCGTGTGTAGTGAATCTTGATTCTCTCACAAAGGATTTGAATGATGGCATTTTCTATTTAGAAATAACAAAAACTTTATTTCCAAGTTATTGCACTTTTTTTCCTGACACTTTCGAGAAGAATCTGAAGCAGTAATAGTCAGAAATTATGCAGAGTAAAAACAAAACAAAAAATTATTCAGAGTGAAGGCAGGGTGATCAAGATAGGCAATACTGATTATGGGAACAAAATAAGTTTAACATTGGGTGCAGATGTCCTTAAATTACCCTGAAGGCCCTGATAAAAGGTGAGCTCCCAACATGGTGGCATGGCTGGAATGAGGCCATGGTGTTCCCAAGATGCCTTCTTTGAAGGACAGCACTTCTGGGTAAATAAGCTTTGTCAGCGCATTTTCTAAATAGTAAACGAGCTCTGTGACTTCACAGTTATTCCTAAGTTTGATGTCATTACAAATCATACCATTTTGGACATTTGGGAAACTGTTTCTGATAGCGGTCATTAGAGGAACTCAGGGTGTGAAAGAATATCTCCGATGTACAATCTCCAGTTCAAGGATGAGCTGGGCTGTGCTGGGGCCAAGCTCATCTCCCTGGGGCAGATGCAGGTCTATGCTGAGGTGTTTCCAGGGGCTTCTGGGCTGGGAGTCGTTCCTTCACTGGCTTGGTCAGGATGGTCCACATATTCAAGTTCTCCCTGCTGTGGGAGGCTCCCAGATACCAAAGGCTCATGGAAATGAACTGAGTGGAACTAAGCCCAGCCTAAAGCACTGGAGACACAGTACTCCAGAGACTCCTTGCCATGGGAAGAGGGACATGGGTAAGGGGCTGAGAAGCAGCCGTAGAGATGGGTTGGACATCTCTGTAGACCCCGCAGCCATCAAGACAGGGTAACCCTGATCTCTCTCTGTCTCTAGAGAGGATATAGAGATGAGGAGCTCTGCTTTCCTCCGCTGGCCACTGAAAGAAGCAGACACACAGGATTCCAGAGAGCCAAGACAAGAGAAGCCCAGGAGAAAAGAGAGGCCCACCAAGCAGCCACCTCTCCAGCAGGCGGCACCCTCGGACTCCGGCCGCTCCTCCCACAGCACCAGGTCCCCTGGGTCCTGCCCTGGGACACACCCCAAGCCCAAGGTTTGGTTGGGGGTGGGGGACACCACATCGCTTATCTTGGAAACACCCTGAAATCCCTTTCAAGAATAGTACACCTGACATCATCCCCCAGATTCTGGGCCTCTTTAGGTTCCAGTGCAGCAAAGACCCTAACATCCTTAAGTAATGCTGACCTTCGCTTCCCCAGACGCCCCACCTCCACTTCCCCTCGGCCGGGTGTCTAGGACTCAGCAGCCATGCCATCATTGCCACGCTTCCACCCCCAGCAGCCCTGCCCTATACGCTCAAAGCCATCCCCAGCAGCAAAGGACCGACCTGAAGGCTGTCTGGTGGCAGCAATGTTAAAGAGACCAGCGTCCTCCCAGGCTGCCCAGACCTCAGCCTCAACACTGGAACTGGCCCCTCTGCTGAGGTAATGCCACCCTCCGTGCCACCCCTGCCTGCCCTGTCTATAGCAAAGGCTCCTGTCACCTTCATCCCCACTGCCTCTCCTACCCACATGACAACACTGGTTCTGGCTTTTTTGACTGTTCTTTTTCCTGTTTTTCCCCTGTACTCACAAAATTGTATTCCATCTTCTGGTAGACGCCCCACCCCCAGAAGTTTTAACCTGAAAGATGATTGTCACAGGACTTTCAAATTGTTTAGAAGTCAGCATAAGTCAGGATCCAAGCCTGTAATCTTGTTTTAAATTAATTATCACATCTAAATTAGAGATTTCGTCACCCAGTGTTAGGACTGAAATTCAGACCTGGTAGCATGTCTGAGGTCTGCAAGACCGAACATTCCCTGCTTTATTGTTTTCTGACATTTTCATTGAGCTTTTCCTAATTCTTTTTGTCTGTAGTCTTGTAGGTATCTCTAATTGAGCAGGAAACCAGAACAAAAACTCTTACATTGGAAACATTTCAAAGCCACTGGATTGTTGAATTGTTTATTTGTTACCATTTTTCTCCCAAAACATTTTAGCAATGACAGATGAAAGTATTCAGTTGTGTTTACTAACTTCAAAAATGAAGTCATACCACCAAATTTCCTTTTTCTAGTCAGTAAGATCCCTAAGACTAGATGAAAATAGAGTACAGATCATCCTTAGGAAAAATATTGGATGCTTTTTCCAAATAGAACAGAAAGGGCAGAGTTCTGAACTCTAAAAATTTACAATTTAATTAAAAGTGGCGTTCACATTCCTAAAAGCTAGGGGTAACCAGGGTTATGATGAAGAAATTAGAGGAGTAATCCACTTCTAAAATTGTGAAAAAAAATAAGGGATATTCACTCAGCATCACACCAAAACCAATAATGCAGTGAGGAAGGAATGGAAGAGTGAGGGAATTGTTTGAAACAAGGCAAGGAACAGTGCTTGTGGGAGGCAGCGTGCCTCCCAGAACTCAGATGTTTCCATCCAGCAGGAAGGCTCCGGAGCAGTCCCCGCTAATGAGAGCTGTGTCCTAGAAGGAAGGAAGGGTGTGAGGGTCTGAAGGAAGCGTGGTGTCTGGTCTGGAGAACTAGCGGAGCATTTTAGAAACCACTCAGTCATAGGCATTGGTTCATTTATTCATGCATGCATGCATGCATGCATGCGAGCCTGTGTGTGTTCATTCAAAGCAATTGCGTGCTGACAGCCTGCCAGGCTCCAGAGAGATGCCGGCAGACACTTGGAAGGTGGTTATCTTCCCTCTGTACCCATCTCATTCTCTTCGTCTCCACTTTCTTATTGGACCAATCACTGGTGTCTAGTGGTGAGGTATGAGCAGAGACAAATAACTACAGGGCAGATATGTACAACACTAGTTGCATTGGTGTTGCATTACAGTGCATGAGACCATCACGTGGTATGTTCAATAATAGTGCCTACTTCAGTGTTATAAGAGAAGTTGCAATTACAGCAGTGAACTTCCACCTCCAGCCAATACAGAATGGCAGCAACTAGATTTACCTCCCACCAAAGCAACTAACACACCTCATAAAATGTATGTAATAACACTTTCCAGAACATTGGCCGCCAGGTGATGAGGACAGTGATCTCTGAGGGACAAATGTGATGAGCTGTATGCGTGTCCCAGTCACTTCCTGATGATGTTTTCAGGCTGCGGCATAGGGAGGGGGAACCCAGACAGCCCTGCCACCTCTGTGAGTTGAACTGGGATTCTGAGGAGACCAAGGCAGCTGCGTTTACCAGGGTCAGGGCTGGTGAGGAGAGAGCTGCAGAGAGAAAGATCACTGGAGACCTGAGGAGTGGCCCTCCTGAGTCTCTGGCTAATAAGTGCATGGCTGTGAGGAAATTACTGAAGACCAGAGAAAGGACCACTCAAAATGATTACAAGGGACAATTCCTACGGTTTACACAGGGCTGGGAATATTTCCTGTTTCCTTCAGCCAAAGTGGAAAACATTATTTATGGGGCATCAGATAAAGTGCTCAGGAGTTTGTCTCAATAGTGGAGCAAAACTGGCATTTGACTAAATGCTTCCATGGTCCCAACCTAATAAAGCTGAAAAGCCCGGGAAGGGTGAAACTTGTTTCCAAATACCTGCGTCCCAGAACAAAGGTAAAGGATATTTATAGGGATACAGAAATATCCACCATCCAACAAGGTAAACAACGTCTGACATCCAATCAAAGACTGGCCTAAAGATAGGCATGAAAAACAGCAGGGAAATAACCCATAATAAAGAGAAAAGCTGGCTGGGCATGGTGGCTCGCACCTGTTATCCCAGCATTTTGGGAGGCTTAGGCTGGTGGATCACCTGAACTCAGGAGTTTCAGACAAGCCTAGCCAAAATGGTGAAACCCTGTCTCTACTAAAAACACAAAAATTAGCCAGGCGTGGTGGCATGCACCTGTAATCCCAGCTACTAGGGAGGGAAAGCAGGAGAATCACTTGAACTGAGGAGGTGACTCTGGAGCAAGACTCCAACTCAAAAAAAAAAAAAAGAGAAAAGCCAGTTGGAATCAGCTCAGGAATGACACAGACAATGAAGAGTACCAGAAATGGCAACTCTTGGTATATATATGAAACACTTTCTTTTCTTATTATTTGAATCTCCTTTAAAGATAATTGGCTTCATAGAGTAATGGCAATAGTACATTAATGCATTTTCATAAATCCCTGAATGTGCACCTGGATGCATTCATTGCCTCAGATGATTTGTGCTTTGATTTTTTGCTGAATGAACCTGTATTTTTAGCATAGACCAGAAGTAATAAAAGGTGTTCAATCTGTTAAACACACCCGCACATACAATAATAATAATACCTTTGTTTGTAGATATTATGGCCACCCTATATAGTAGGTGTGGATCACAAGCCAGGGGCAGTGGGTAATTTGTTATAGGGATGGAGTGATTGAAAACCACGTGTGAACTATGTGGAATGGGTACAGAGTGAATCCTTGAAACAGAAAAATGTTCTTCAGAAGAAAGGGAATGGATGTTCAAAAAGAGAGTGGATCACCAATTAAGTGATGTAAAAAAGATTCTATGCATCAAGTGAGAGTCATTTACATACTTCTAAGCTCCTTTCTAACTCTAGGAGTCTACAGCTCAATGACACAGTCCATTACCACCAACTCAGAGCAGCTCCTCATAGATGAAAAACTGTCCTTACAAAAGGTGGGTGGGCTGTAGCCAACAAAACTAAACAAGAGAAATCAATTAGAGAAATTATAATTGGAAAAGAAGAAGGAAAATGATGTTTGCACATGATAAAAGCCAACACCTGAAAAACCTGAATCAATAACACTAATCCAAACAAAAGAATTCAGTGAGATGAAGGATATAAACTTAATACATAAAAATCAATATACACAAATCATGATCACTTAGAAGACATGTTGATAGTGAAAACTTCATTTACAATAACAATAAAGAAAATAAAATGCAGCTGATTCTCACTATTCATGTGGTTACGTACTATAAAGTTACATCTAACACTGAATATTGAGTCATTGCCCCTAGGGGACATACAAGATTAGATTTCCTGCAGGCCTCTGGTCACAACTAATCAATGCATAACTTTGTTTTGTGTGTGTTTCTGTTCAAAGACAGTTCTTTTTTTTTGAGGCAGAGCCTCCCTCTGTCACCTAGGCTGGAGTGCAGTGGCATGATCTTGACTCACTTCAAGCTCTGCCTCCAGGGTTCAAGTCATTCTGCCTCAGCCTCCCTCGTAGCTGGTATTACATGTGCTGGCCACCACCCCCAGCTAATTTTTGTATTTTTAGTAGAGACGGGGTTTCATCATGTTGGCCAGGCTGACCTCAAACCCCTGACCTCAGGTAATCCACCCACCTCAGCCTCCCAAAGTGCTGGGACTACAGGCATGAGCCACTGCACCCAGCCCAAAGATATCTTAATATATATTGCTCACTTATTAACATACTAATTCCCAGCCCTATAAGGGTGTTTACAGTAGGAGAGCTAAAACAAGAAGGCAGTAGACGACTCAGATTTTTTCAATGCTTTGAGAATGCACCTGTCTGCAAATATGCCTTGAGCATTGATTTTGGGGTTACAAATAAGTTTTAGCAGTGATATGGTTTGCATCCATGTCCTGGCCCAAATCACATGTCAAATTATAATCCCTGGCTGAGTGTGGTGGCTCATGCCTGTAATTCCAGCACTTTGGGAGGCCAAGACTGGCAGATTGTTTGAGCTCAGGAGTTCAAGACCAGCCTGGGCAACATGGCAAAACCCTGTCTCTACAAAAAATACAAAACATTAGCTGGGTGTGATGGCACATGCCTCTAGTCCCAGTTACTTGGGGAGGCTAAAGTGGGAGAATTGCTTGAACCCATAAGGCAGAGGTTGCAGTGAGCCACGATTATGCCACTGTACTCCAGTTTGGGCAACAGAGTGAGACTCCATCTCAAAAAAAAAAGAAAATTGTAATCCCCAATGTTTGAGGAGAGGCCTGGTGGGAGGGTGATTGGATCATGGGGTTGAAGTTCTCATGAATGATTTAGCACCATCCCTCCCTGGGTACTGTACAGTAACTGAGCGCTCATGAGATCTAAAAGTATGTAGCATCTCCCCTCCCCTCTCTTTCTCCTGCTCTCGCCATGTAAGTACTGGCTCCTTCTTCACCTTCCGCCATTATTGGAAGCTTCTTGAGGCCTCCCCAGAAGCAGATAAGGCCATGCTTCCTGTACAGCCTGGAGAACCATGAGCTAATTAAACTCCTTTTTTTATAAATTACCCAGTCTCCAGTATTTCTTTATGGCAATGTAAGAATGGACTAATATAAGCAGGTAGGTGAATTCACAAACATGGAATTTGTAAATAATGAGCATGGACTGTATATAGAATAAACTTAACAAGAAATATGCAAAACCAGTATATGAAAAACTTTGAAAAACTCCTAAAAGACACAAAAGTAGACTGGAACATCCCTTGTTTTAGATAGGATGACTGAACATGATGAAGATGATAGTTCTCCCTGAGTTCATGTATTACTATAACACAATTCAAGTAAAAACAACAGCAAATATTTTATGAGGCTTGAAAAGTTTGTATTAAAGTGGTAAACCAAAAATAAAATTCTAAGTCCCCCAACCATCTGAATGGCTTTCCCCCTAGGCCAGGGCACTCTAAACTTTAACCTAAAAGAAGGGTCCAGGCCCTGAGGGGAAGTAGGGATGGACATGCCCCATTATACCCTCCAGCATTCAAATCAACACAGGCCTTAAGCCTGATAAGAAATATTTACAGTCTATTCTCTCTAAAGCCTGCTATCTGGAGGCTTCATCAGCATGATTAAACTTTGGTCTCAACAACCTCTTATTGTAACTCAGGCATTCTTTTCCCTTGATAATAACTTAACCAGTTGCCAATCAGAAAATTTTAAAATCTACGTATAACCTGGAAGCCCCCTCTTTGAATGGTCTCCTGCCTTTCTGGACCAAACCATTGTATATCTTAAAGGCATTTAACTGATGTCCCATGTCTCCCTAAAATGTCTAAAACCAAGTTGAACCCTGACCATCTTGGACACACGTTCTCAGAATCTTCTGAGGGCTCTGTCGCAGGCCGTGGTCACTCATATTTGGCTCAGAATAAATCTCTACAAGTATTTTACAGAGTTTAACTCTTTTGTCAACAAAGTTCTTATGGAAAAAGAAACATGAATCTCTAAGAAAATACTAAAAAATAAAGATATGAAGAAGGAACTTATGTTAGCATATTAAACACTATGATATCTCTATGCTAAAAATAGTGTGGCACCAATGAGATATCATCTCACACCAGTGAGAATGGCTATTATTAAAAGTAAAGAAAAAAACTAACATATGTTGAAGAGGTTGTGGAGAAAAAGGAATGCTTTTACACTGTTGGTGGGAGTGTAACTTAATTCAACTGTTGTGGAAGACAGTGTGGCAATTCCTCAAAGACCTAAAGACAGAAATACCATTCAACCCAGCAATCCCATTACTGGCTTTATATCCAAAGAAATATAAATTTTTCTATTATAAAGACACATGTATGTGTATGTTTATTTCAGTGCTATTCACAATAGCAAAGACGTGGAATTAACCAAAACGCCTATCAATGATAGACTGAATAAAGAAAATGTGGTACCTATACACCATGGAATACTATGCAGTCATAAAAAGGAATGAGATCATGTTCTTTGCAGCGACATAGATGGAGCTGGAGGCCATTGTCCTTAGCAAACTAAGACAAGAACAGAAAACCATATACTGCATATGTTCTCACTTATAAGTGGGAGCTAAACGATGAGAACGCATGGAAACATGGCTAGGGGAACAACACACATTGGAGCCTATCCGAGGTTTGGAGGGTGAGACGAGGGAGAGAAGCAGAAAAAAATAACTAATGGATACTAAGCTTAATATCTAGGTAATGAGATAATCTGTAAAACCAACCCCCATGACACACACTTACTTACGTAACAAATCTGCACATGTACCCTGAACTTAAAAGTTAAAAATATAGTAGTGTGGTGCTATCACAAGGAAAGGAAAATGGATTGATGGAATAAAATATTGTCCAAAAAAGACATATATTAATCTATCTATCATCTATCTGTCTGTCTGTCTATATATCTATCTGCAATTGTCCTTCAATATTCAGGGGATTGGTTCCAGGAGCCCCTTGGACACCAAAATCTGAGGATCCTCAAGCCCTGCAGTTGGTCCTGTGGAACCCATAAAAACAAAAGGTCAAGCCGGGCGCGGTGGCTCAAGCCTGTAATCCCAGCACTTTGGGAGGCCGAGGTGGGTGGATCACGAGGTCAAGAGATCGAGACCATCCTGGTCAACATGGTGAAACCCCGTCTCTA